GAAGGAAGGAAGGAAGGAAGGAAGGAAGGAAGGAAGGAAGGAAGGAAGGAAGGAAGGAAGGAAGGAAGGAAGGAAGGAAGGAAGGAAAGATAAATGAATTCCTGAATAGAATTTAGGAAAATTGGCTAGATCCCTCTGGTGATTACTAAATGGGTATAAAAGAAGTACACTTATTGCTAAGCAGCAAATGTCACATTTACAAAAATTGACCATTAGGGAATAAAAATCTCATAAACATATGCAGAAAAGAAGAAATTTTAAATATGTCCTTCATTAAATACAATGAAATAACTATTACATTCAATAAAAAACCTGAAGCATTAAAATTAATTTGCAACTAATTTAATCCTAAAGAATTGTGAGTCAAAGGACAGTAGAAACAAGCAATAACTTTGTACTCCCAAAAATGGCAACATAGGACAATATAACAACATTTTTAGAATGCAGACAAAGCAGTCCTTAGGGAAGATTTATAGGGAGGTAGGTGGCATAATGTATGCAGCACTCAACTTTGTTTCAGAAAGAACTGAGTTCAAATCCTGCCTGAGACACGTGCTAGCTATGTGACACTGACAGTGTCACAAACTGCCTCAGTTTTTTCATCTGTAAAATGAAGAGGCTAGACATCAGGGCCTCTAAGGTCTGTTTAACCTCTAAATCTACGAGCCTATGAAATAAACACTTTTACCAGCAAAAGAGAAAAAGAATAGATCAAAGAATTGGGTATGAAACTAAAAAGTAACAAATCAAAAAACCCATGTAAATACAAAAAGAGAAATTCTGAAAGTCAAAGAAGAGATTAATAAAACTTGAAGCCAAAAAAAAAATGAATTATCAATAAAAGTAAGAAGTTTTTTGGAAATAAAATATTAAATAAACTATTATCTAGTGTAATTTCTTTAAAAAGAAGAAAATTTTAAATATTAAAATAAAAAAGAATTCACAAAAATAAACAAAGAAATTATTAAACACTATTTTGTCCAATTACATGCAAATAAAACACATCACTTCAATGAAATAGATAAATACTTATGAAAATATAAAATGCTCAGAAATTGAAAAAGCTATAAATGAATACTCAGTGGGGGGGGGGGGAACTAGGACCAGATGGATTTTTAGTGAATTCTATTAAGCATTCAAAGAACAAATACTTCTAATATCATATATACTATTTGCAAAAAACAAAAACAAAAAAAAAAACAGGAAAAGAAAAAGTCTTACCAGTTTCCTTCTATGATGCAAATATTGTCTTGATACCTAAACCAGGACAAGAGAAAACAGAGAAAGAAAACTATAAATTCTAATGAAAATTGATGCAATTAAAAAAATTATATCATATAACCAGGCTAGATTTTTACCAAGAATTTGGGTTGGCTGAATATTTAAAAAACTGTAAACATAATAGACCACATTAATAACAAAAACAATAAAAATTACATAGCTATATCACTAGATTAAAAAAAGCTTTCAACAAAATAAGAATAAATGAACCTTTTATTAACATGGTAAACAAAGAGCCAACATTACATGTAATGGAGATAATTGCCTACAGGACACTTCAAACTTGATGTCCCAGTGACACCTTTAACTCAATATATCTAAAAATGAACTCATTACTTTTCCCCCCAAACCCTGCCCTCTTCCAAGCTTCTCTTTCTCTGTTGAAAGCACAACCCACCTTCCACTATCCTGGTAATATCAGCATTATCTTTGACTCTTCATTCTCCTTCAGTCCACACAGCCAATCAGCTGCCAAATTCTACAAATTGTTGGCTTACCACATCTCTTGCATCTGATACCTCTCTACTCATTTTATTTCACGCATTTTTCACCTCTCACCATGATTACTGAGACAGCCTCTTAATTGGTCTTCCTGCCTCAAATTTCTTCCAATTCCAGTCTCACTTTCATAAATCCAAAGCTCTCAAATGAAAAAAATCTGCAATAAATTTCTCTGATAAAGGTCTCATTTCTAAGATATATAGGCAAGTAATTAAAATTATTCCAACTTATAAATGGTCAAAGAATACGAATAGATGGTTTTCAGAGAAAGAAATCCAAGCTAACTATAGTCATATGAAAACGTGCTCTAAATCACTAACAATTAGACCAATGCAAATTAAAACAACTATACAACCTCATACCCAGCAGATTGGCAAAGATGACAAAAAAAGCACTTAGCACAGTGGCTGACACATAGCAGGTGCTTAATAAATGTTTACTAACTGACAAATGTTGGAGGGACTCTGGAGGAAAGGGTACATTAATGCATTGTTGGTGTAACTGCAAACTGGCCTGGCCATTTTAGAAAGCAATTTGGAACTATGCCCCAAAAGCTATTAAACTGTGTATAACCTTTGACCCAACAATACCACTACTGTATCTATACCTCAAAGCAGCTCTTTTCATGGGGGCAAAAAATTGGAAACTTGAGGAAGTATCCATAAATTGGACAATGACTGAACAAACTATGTTATATTAATGTTATGGAATACTGTGCTGTAAGAAATGAAGGGGATGGTTTCAGAGGAACCTAGAAAGACTTATGTGAATTGTGACAGGGTTAAAATGAGCAGAATCAGGAGAATAATTATATTATGAAGACAAACAACTTTGAAACACTTAGGAACTCTGATCAACACAATGACCAAACACAGTTCCAGAGGACTCATGATGAAACATGCTACCCACTTCCAGACAAGAGAGGTGAGGGACTCAGTCCTAACAAAGGTTTATGTTTTTGCTGTTGGTGTTGCTGCTGCTGCTGCTTTGAAGGGGGAGAAGAAAAGCCAATGGAGGGATTTGTTTCGCTTGACTATACACACTTAAAATGGGTTTTGTTTTTCATCCTTTTTTCTCACTGAGGGGAAGAGAAAGGTGGGAAGGAGAGAATTCAGTCCTAAAAATAAAATAAATTTTGAAAAAAAGATCCCAACTGCTAGGGTAAGGACTAACTCTTTCATAAAAACTGCTGGGAAATTCGGAAAACATTCTGACAGAAATTAGCTTTAAACAAATACCTCACACCATATACTGAGACTAGCTCCAAATGGAATCGTGACTTAGACATGAAAGGTGATATCATATGCAACTCAAATGAGCAAAGAAAACATTTTCTTTTGGATCTATGGAGAGGGGAAAAGTTCAGATGAAACAAGGGCTAGAGAGGATCACAGGAAATAAAAGGGATAATTCTGATAATAATAAAATAATAGGTTTTGCAAAAGTAAAACCAATGCAGTTGAAATTATAAAGAAAACAGTTAATTGGGGGGGGGAAATCTCTGTAACAAGTTTCTCTGATAAAATTTTCATATCCAAAATATATAAGGAACTGATTCAGATATATAAGAGCAAGAGCTATTTTCTATTTTGACAAACTTCAAGGATATGAACAGGAAGTTCTAAAAGGAAGTAATTCAACTTATCAATAACCATATGAAAAAAATGTCCCAAATCACAAAAAAAAAACAAACTAGAGAAATGTAATTTAAAAGTAAGTCTCAGGTTCCACCTAATACCCATCAAACTGGCAGATATTTTTTTTAAATGGCAATTGTTAGAGGGGCAATGTAAAGAAAGGAATATATACATTGTTGGTGGAGCTGCAAATCGTTCTAGTCATTCTGGAAAGCAATTTGGAACTATGCCCAAGTCAACAAGCATTTATTAAGAACCTAATATGTGCTAGGCACTACACTAAACAAGGATGAAAAAGAAGGGCAAAACAATTCCTGCCCTCAAGAAGCTCACAATCAATGGGAGGTAGGAGACACAACATGAAAGTAACTGTGCAAATGAGATATATACAAGATAAAAAAATCAGTGAACTGTGTATATCCTTGGATCAACCAATACCACTACTAGGCTTTTACACCAAAGAGAGTAAAGAAAAAGGAAAAGGATTCATGTGCAAAAATATTTACAGCAGTTCTTTTTGTAGCGATACAGAACTAGAAATACAGTGGGTACCCATCAAATGAGTAAGAACAGAATGAATTATAATGTGTGTACACATTCATAAAAATATACATACATATATACATACATACATATACATACACATACATATGTACACATATCTACATATACATATGCATGCGTATATGTATATATACATACATGAACATATACACATACACATATATACATGCATGCATATACACACATATACTAATATAGTAGACTATCACTATGCTATAAGAAATAACAAAAGGGACAGCTCCAGACAATCCTCATGTGAACTGATGCCAATGAAGTGAGCAGAACCAGAAAAATTTATACAATAAAAGTAACATTATAAAGAAAGACTTAAGAACAGTGGTCAGTGAAATGAACAACCAACCACAGGACCTAACCAAAAGGCTGCCAAAATGAAAAAAGAAGAAAAGTAAGAAAAGTGGGTCACCAAAGCAGTTACAAAATGTAGAGAAAAGAATAGGAGGAAAATCTGTAGGAAAAGAGAGAAGCAGGACAGCTTTGAAAATAATATGCTGAATTTGTTGTGTACTTAAAAAGAGAAGCTAGCAGTTTCCCAGCTACAATCCTGTTTTTTCCGTTCTGCTTTGTATATGGTAAATCTCATCTTATTTGGTGTTTGTTAAGTTCAGAATAAAAACAACTCAAAAAAAAATGGTTTTAATCAAATCCACCCTTAATGACTTAAGCCCAGTGCCCAGAGGAAAAGAAATCTTTATGACTCACCCTAAGCAAGTAAACTGCCAGACTGCCTCTCATAAGCACAAGGCCAGAGAGCCTGCTTTCTACAAAGAACAGGTCTTGGAGCCAATCCAGCTGTGATTGCATCTCCTGAGTCCAGCTGGCTAACACAGCCAGCAATGGGGGGCCCATGAAGCACCAGGAATTTTCCATTCAAACAACCAAGATTTACAAGTTTCCTGACAATGACCCATTTAGGTTGAGTAACATCCTTACTTGGATCATGATAGGCCCAAATGAAAAGGCTATTCAATTTGGCAATATCCTACCAGGAGGCCAAGGTAAACATGGCTTTGGGGCCAGATTAAAAACGGGACACAGAAGTTGCAAGGGAGGCAGTTTATAGGATCACAGCATTTAAGGCTGTAAAGGATTTTAGAGATCATGTTACAGATGAGGGAAACTGGGGCCAAAGGAGGCTCAGTGACACACCCAAAGATACACAGACAACACATGATGAAGCCAGGATTTGAACACAGGTCCTCTGATGCCATATGTAGTGCTCTTTCCACCATAAAGTCAGAATAGCAATACTATTGGCATCTACCTAAATATAGTCCCCTCTTCTTACCACTGTGAAAGTTTATAGGGAATGGCTACCCTGAACAACAGGCTGACTGTCCAGCTTCCCTAAACCAACTCCAACAAAAACATTTAATAATAATCAAGAAACCCAATAAGAAACTATAGCAAATGACTTCTTCCAACTTAAAATTTCAACCACAGGCCCAAGAGTATCAGGCAAGGGGGTCCTCCAAGCAAAGCAAGCACTACCACCAGTGCTGAGACACAAGAGGCCCACAAGGTTCTGAGTTGAGATGCTGCAAGAATGGAAAATTCCTCTGAGTTCCAATGTGGGGACCGTGACAGTCAGCAACCAACATGAAGCCAACCAGCAACGGTAAGGACGAGATAGACGAGGCCCAGAAATTCAGAGATCCCTATGAGTCTGCCCTCAGGTGTGAGAAAGGACTCTCGGGTCTAATGCCAGGAGGTAGAATCAGCACAAGAAAGCCAAAGGTCCAGGACAAGACCAAGCAGAGTTAACCATCCCACCCAAAAGTGCAACAAGAAGTGGAACCCAGCCCTGGCATAGAACCCAATTCAGGAATGAAAGCTAGACAGAGCAGAACCACAAAGTACTGCAAATTTTAACTCCCTAACAACTGTAAACAGACTCAAAGGACAAAATGGATTTTCCACATGAAAATCTAGAAGAAATGAAGAAAATTTTAAAGTAAAATAAGAATAACGTAAAGTAAAATAAAATGAGGGAAAGAAATGGAAGGAAAACAAGTAGCTTGGAGGAAAAAGTGCTAAACCTTACCAAAGAAATGGAATCCTTGAAAACCAAGCAAACAGAAATGAATGATTCCATGAAACTTCAAGAAATAGTAGAATAAAATCAAAATATTGGAAAAAATAGAAGAAAATGTCAGATACCTGATATAAAAAAAAACAACTGATACAGAAAACAGGAGAGAAAATTTAAGAATCGGTAGATTCCCTAAAAACCAGGAGGACAAATAGCCTCAATGC